AGCATCCACAGGCTAGGACAAGTTTAAGAAAATTTTTTAGAAAAATAATGTTAAGAAGACATAATAAACAAAAGAGAGACTTACATAGGATAGAGCAGGGGAGAGCTATATAGGCTTAAAGACAAGGAAATTGAACTTTATTCTGAAGGCAATGGGAAGACATTAAAAGGCTTTACAGAAGGGAGTGACAGTAAAGTTAGCATTTTTAGAAGGATTTTGTGTAGGGAAATTCTACAGAAAAATCTCTATTGTCTACCTGGAGGGATAAGAAGGCTGGGGGAAAAAAATGAGACTAAAATAAAAGCTAATTGTTCAAGAAATAAAAGTGATTAGCAAGTCCAAGAAACAAAAGAAAATGCCATCAAATGCTCCACTTGGCACTGTGGTAAATACTTACATGGTCAGAGTAATGTAAATACTTTATGGATTTGGAAGTTCCAATTATAATTCATGTTTACATTGTAAAAGTAAAGATGACAGAAGTTAGAAAATTGAAGTGAAGGAAGGAAATTGTTACTTTCACTTGGTAAACCGTCTGGAGTTCTCATAACAAGAAGTAAAGGTAAATATGCTACATAAAGTTACAAAGGAGACCAAGGGAAAAATTAACACTAATGACACAATTATAGCATAAGGAAGGAGAACTTGGGGTACTCTAGGTGGCTACCTCCCCTTTTACAGCAAGAAGTCAATAAATGATGCCTGTAATTAATCTATGTAAGAAATAGAAACAGAAGCATATTGCTAGAGATATGGCAATAACAAAACACTTAGCAAAACACCTTCAACGCTGGAGGAGTGAGACTGGCGGATTTGAATGTGGATCCTTGCTATTCATTATAAACACCCTTGTCAGATCTCATTTATAATATTGTACTTGAACCAATTTTTAAAAATAAAAGTATATTAGAATTTTAAGTGGTAATTATTTTATAGTCTCTTTAGATCTGAAGGGATGAACTTTTTATCTTATGTTTAAGAAATAAAGTATTGCATCCTTGCTTCTCAAAAATCTTTTTATCAGTGACTTTTAAATGTATCAAGTTATCTTTTGCATTTAGCATATTACTACAACTAATACAAACTTTGCCATTATTCATTTTTTTTTACTTTGCCAGCTTAAGGATAACTTTTAACATCTGGTTTAGTTGATTGTACAACTACCACTAGTAGTCTTCTTTACAGAGTATTCTGTTGTTTTTATTTTTCACATCAAAAGAAATTGATATTTTCATACATTCTTACAAGTCTTGTTAGGTGCGAGGGAAACAGACAAGAAGAAATGCTCCTACTTCTTTTTTTTTTTTTTTCTTTTTGTCTTTTTTCGTGTCTGGCAATGGATCGCAACCCTCGGTGTTGCGCCCGCACCACGCTCAGCCAGTGAGCGGGAACCGGTCTCCACATGGGATCCGAACCCTCAGCGGGAGCGCCGCCTCGCTCCCAAGCGGTGCACTCTCCAGTGCGCCACCGGACCAGCCCAAAATGCTCCTACTCCTAACGTGTTATATTCTAACAAAGATTACTACCTTTTTTTTTTTTTTTCCTTTTTGTCTTTTTTCGTGTCTGGCAATGGATCGCAACCCTCGGTGTTGCGCCCGCACCACGCTCAGCCAGTGAGCGGGAACCGGTCTCCACATGGGATCCGAACCCTCAGCGGGAGCGCCGCCTCGCTCCCAAGCGGTGCACTCTCCAGTGCGCCACCGGACCAGCCCAAAATGCTCCTACTCCTAACGTGTTATATTCTAACAAAGATTACTACCTAATTTCCAGATACACTGGCCACTGTCCAGTACCTCTCTTCTTAGAATATATTCCTTTACTCACTCCCGCCTTGAAACTTGATCTTTCTTTGGATTTTGCTAATCATGTATTTCTGGTTCTGCTCTCACATCTTGTTGGTGGTTAGTAGAAGTACCCTTAACTTGATCAAAATGCATGGCCCAGCTGCTTTTAAAATACAGGTTCCATTTTTTGCCTCTTTTCTCCTCATTTGATACGACCTCCCTCAGTGATCACTTAATTATTGATGACATGTATATTGCCTTCTCTGAGTGCCTCAGCTATATATAAATACAAGGAATCTTCAAAAAGTGCATGGAGGGGCTGGCCCGGTGGCGCACTGCGCTAGTGCGCCGCTTGGGAAGAGCGGAGGCGCTCCCGCCGAGGGTTCGGATCCCACATACAGACCGGTTCCCGCTCACTGGCTGAGCAAGGCGCGGGGGCAACACCGAGGGTTGCGATCCCGTTGCCGGTCCCGGTCCGGTATGGGGGCGACACTGAGGGTTGCGATCCATTGCCGGACACGGAAAAAAAAGACAAAAAAAAAAAAAAGTGCATGGAAATATTTGTATTATCTTTTAATTCTATTTTTCCACAAACATTTTGAAGTACCCTTGTATTAGGATGTCCCCTGGGCATTTTAAACTTAACTTGTAAAAAACTGAATTTATCTTTTTTCCTCTACTCTCACTCAAATATATTTCTTTATGTCCTAAGTTAACACAGTATTTGGCAAATAGCAGTGGTTCCGAAACTACACCTAGAGAACCATTGGGACACAATAATCATTTAATATTTGTTAGATCAATAATTACTATGAGTCAATGAATGGTTAAAATGAGTAACAGAGACTCAAAAATCAAACTTAAAGAGTAAATGGTAAGAAATATTCATAGAAATTTAAAACTTTATTCTGAAAGAACAAGAAAGATCATTCAGTCTAATACCCTCTTACTGTAAATTAATAAACTGAGGTCTAGATGGGTTAAATCACTTGCATGAGGAAAAATAACTATATTCAACCAGCCTTGCTTTTCCATAAAAATAAAATAACTTCATATGTAACATTTGTATTTAGCTAGTTAAGTAATAATTTTCCAATTTCAGAAATGGAGATGAGCAGATCGTGGTTTCCCTGGACGAATAGGTCTTTGTACACAAGCACCGATTTTCTGGACATGAATAAAATACTCCTAAATTTTAGTGCTGCTCCCTGTACAGCTGATGTACACAGCAAAGAAAGGAGAAATGTAAAGTTCAATATGTTGGTTAAGGTTTCAGATTCTCACCACTCCAAGCAGTGTTTGGGAAAGCAGTATGTTGAAGAAAGTAACAGAGATGATTTGACACCTAGTGGTCTCAAAGACAGCTGAATTCTTTATTTTGCCAGAACTAATAGCACTTCTATCAATGCATACCAGTAAGTGTGAAAAGTACAGCAGTCTTGTTATCTTAAGCTGTTTTATTATATTCCCAAGTTTGGATATTTGATAGGACTCATCAGACTCCATAGAGTCTAGGGCTCTTATTTAAAGGCAAAGGATACAATGCAGCAAGAGAAAGAGAATACAGACCAACACTGAATGTCCAAGAGCCTTTTCATAACATGGGTTCCCTGTGGGCCCATTCTCTGGGCAACTGGAGCAGGCTGAGTCTCTGGCTTGAACTGCCAAGACCTGTGCAAGGACTCTTAGTTTAAGGAGAGCTCACCAACAAAGCTCTCAGTGGCTTTATAAATAATCAAGGCAGACTAGTCAAACCAAAAAGGCTAGTTGCAAATTATTAGTGCAGACGCTTATCTTGAGGGTCTCCAATGGAGTTGCAGACTCCAAATATTATGTCAAATATCCTACTGCCATCTTTTTGGCCAAGAGTAACAAGATACACAGACATTTCCAGAAATAAAGATAATACTTTTCTAGTCCAGCTATAAACCAACTTTATCATACATAGAAATCTTGTAAAGAAGGCCACTGAAACTTCTTTTCTATGGACCAGCAGCCTAAGAAGCCAAGCAGGCTGACTCCCAGGTCTCTAGAAGTGGGCTACCAAAGCATATTGAGGTTAGGTAGGCCTGCAGATTTTGAGCTCTCCAGGGAAAATTGGTAACCCAGTCCTTCCCAAGTGTTTATTAGAAGCCACTTACACACAATGGTAGCAATAGCATTGGTGCTATAAAATCAAAATGTGATATCATAATCAAGTTGCTTCAGAGAGATGTTCATTGGCTTGAAGGCTTTAAATACTTTGAGGGGCAAAGTCTCATGACAAAGTAGAATTTCCTTTAAAGGTACTAGTATCTAAAAAGTAATATCCAAGCAATATGAATTTTATGTGTGAAGAAAGTATTCAGAAAAAATAGGAAAAATACAATGCAATGAATTGCTGTTTCTCATTAGATATGTCTGTTATCAATTGCCAATTACAATTACAATAATTATGAACAAGGAGTTAGGAGACATAGAGCTCTGTTATCAGAAACAAATTTGAGAAAATCTTTTTCATATATACGGACATACTAACTGGTTATTTAAGGGAAAAATCTTATTCTAGAATTTTTATCCAGTTTTTTTTTTACCTACTTTTTTATTTCTACTCAATTCTGTCATCTGTCTCCCTGATATTCTCCTAAATCCTAAATCGGAAGTCTGACATACTCTCTTAGTCCTACGTACCTTATAGGGCATCTATGTTGCTTGAGTGTCTATGATTTGCAAACAGCTGCTGCAGTCTTTGCCTTTAGATTTAGAATTAATTAGGTTCAGATCTTTTGCCAGAAAATCTAAGATAAAACATTTTGCAATATTCACAGTTACAAGATTCTTCTGCCAATTAAAGAACCAAACAGTCACTTCCTATTTTATTTTAGAGCTCAACCAAAAAAAAAATCTAAAAACACAGCATTACATTTTTTTTTCTCTTGCCCCGTCACTGGCTTTTTTGCTGCACCTTTAAATTCACTTTGAACTCCTTTCGTGCCTCCTCTCCACAACACCTCAGCTCTTTACAGGAAATGTTTACCTAAATAAAATGCTTTAAACACTGTGTGACTCAGAGTAGGTACATTAGAACCTGGTACATGAGTTCATTCCTCTTAAAGAATTTCTTCTTTTTGCTACTGAGTTCTCAAATTTTACTGAATGTAGCACAAAATAAAGTGATACAATGATTTCTCATTCAGCTTAACAACGTTTTCTATTTTCTTTTTGCTTTCCTGACAGTATAAGCAAGTGGAACAATACATGTCATTCCATAAGTTACCAGCTGATATGCGTCAGAAAATACATGATTACTATGAGCACAGATATCAAGGCAAAATCTTCGATGAGGAAAATATTCTCAATGAACTCAATGATCCTCTGAGAGAGGTAAGATTTATATATTCCTCAGTCTTCATGGTACATGATCATTGTTTATTTTCTCATTTCATGAGATATCCCCAAGTCTATGTTATGACACTACTCGGTGGGGGGGAGGGGGAAGAGCTAAGTGTTAAGATATCATTTTTCCTGTTACTCTCTTTTATATTTCTCCTATGTTTCTTTTCATTGTTAAAAAAATACTATGAAAATTATTTCTCTAATTGTGATCCTCAGAACTGTTCAACTTTTTGTATTTCTGGCTCTCAAAATTCCTTCTTATAGCTTCATTGCCCATATCCTCTCGATCTCCCATTCGTTTATGCTTATCAAACCATTTCTTTACTTTTTTTTTTTTTTTTAATTTCCATTCTCCCTCCTATCTTGATTTTCCTTGTTCATCTCCTTTATCCTGATCACGGACTGACCTGCTGCAAGCAATTCATTTCCTAGTACCTCGTTATAACACTTTGCAACATCAATAACCAACTCTTTGCCTTGCATCATCTTTCAATCCCTACCCAAAAGTCTTCTTTCAACCCTTTAGAATGTTCAAGACGCCCCTAGACCAAAAGAACATGGTCTTGATTATCCATATTTCTTACACTGCTTCGCTCTCTCTTCTTGCTTTTTGTACTGACCTTTACAAAAGGTTACTGTGTAATTATTACATTGTGGTTTGATCTCCACTTATTGACCAAAATTGCTTTCTTTAAAGTTATCAATGACCTGTTAATCATCAAATCCTATGTCTTTGAGCTGTTTCTGGTACTTATTTATGCTGATAACTAAACACACATCCTGAATCTCCTCTTTGGGCTTCTTCAACACTGATCCCCTGGCATTTATTGTGTCTTTGAATTTATTTTTTTAAATTTCATCTCACACTTCAATTCTGTCAATTTGAGCTCTAACTTTCAGAAATAAATTCTATTTTCCTAAAAGCTACATGTTATCCCCTGTCCCCACATATATAGTGTGCAATGTAATAAGGCACTATCTTCCATCACTAAACCATTTATCTTTTAAAGTCTCTCTGTACATTTTTCAGTCATTTTTCCAAGTCACTTGTAATGGAAAACTTTAGTTCTTTTTTGAATCTTTTTTTTCCCTCTGCTCTATATACCCTATCACCAAATGCTGTCAATTCTCTTTGGTAATACATCTCACTCCCACATCCTTGCTTCCTTTCCCAGCACCATCCAGCTATCCTGATTTTTCTTACCAAGGCTATTTGTACTATTCTCTCTGCTTTGCCTTCCAGCCTTTGGTCTGTTTTCTCTAACTACCATTTAAAGCATCACTACCAAATTAATTTTTGTTTGTGTGTACAAGCTGGCTATTTCTCTGCTCAGAAACTTTTAGTCTTTACCTTACAAATTTAATCAAATATAGACTCCTTTGGTTAATATGTCAACCCTTTTGCACTCTGACTCCAGCTAAATCCTCAGCTTTCCTTTCGCCTGCTGCCCTACATGTTCCAAAGTGGCCTACAGCCAAACTGTGCAACTCGCTGTTTTGCAAAAATAAATGACAATTTCTCAACCTTGCACCATATGTTTTTCAGAAATGCCTCTCTACTGTTGGCAAAATCTAGTTCAAATAATACCTCTTTATTTCTACCTTCCTTGATCTACCGGACTGGCTCTGATCTCTCTTTTTTCTGACCCCTGTGCACTTAATCCATAACTCTTGCGTGCTACTCACTGTTCTATGTTACTATTTTTTCAAATTTATTTTCTCCCATTTGTCTCAAAAATTCCATAAAAGAAAGAGCCATTTTGTTTATATTTTAACATTTTCTTAAATATTTTTATCCAAGTAAGGTCTTTGCCATTTACCACCATTTCTAAATTTCTGTATCCATTAAGTTATTTGTATTACTTTTTTTCTTGAAAAGTCATAAGATAGCAGTTAAGAGTTTTGAAAATGAAAGAGGATTTTTATCCAAGTAAGGTCTTTGCCATTTACCACCATTTCTAAATTTCTGTATCCATTAAGGTATTTGTATTACTTTTTTTCTTGAAAAGTCATAATATAGCAGTTAAGAGTTTTGAAAATGAAAGAGGCTGGGCCGGCCCAGTGGCGCACTGCTGCAGTGCCCCTCTTGGGAGCGTGGCTGCACTCCTGCTGAGGGTTCGGATCCCACATACAGACCGGCCGCTCACTGGCTGAGCGAGGTGCGGGCGCAGCACCGAGGGTTGCGATCCCGTTGCCGGTCCCGGTCCGGTACGGGCGCGACACTGAGGGTTGTGATCCGTTGCCGGTCAAGAAAAAAGACAAAAAGGAAAAAAAAAAAAGAAAATGTATAAAAGAGACCGGCCCAGTGGTGCACTGCTACAGTGCGCCGCTTGGGAAGTGCGGCAGCGCTCCCGCTGAGGGTTCGGATCCCACATACAGACCGGTTCCCGCTCACTGGCTGAGCGAGGTGCGGGCGCAGCACCGAGGGTTGCGATCCCGTTGCCGGTCCCGGTCCGGTACGGGCGCGACACTGAGGGTTGTGATCCGTTGCCGGTCAAGAAAAAAGACAAAAAGGAAAAAAAAAAAAAAAAAAGAAAATGAAAGAGGCTAATATGTGTTACTTATTAGCTTATTTTCCCTACAAAGTCCTAGGCCAAGCTAGAATGTATGGATCTTTTTCCTTTGGGAAATATAATTCAAACCTTTTCTTATGTATTTTTAAAAGAAAGCAATATATCATTTGTTTTAACAAAAATCTATCCATATACATTGCTTTATCTCTTTGCTGGAATACAAAATTTGTTTTAAATCAAAATCTTCTTCACTACAAGGCAGAAGCTGAGGACACTGGACTAGGTTGGGTTGTCAAGGTAGGGTGGGGCATGTCATAGCAGAGAGACAAAGGTAGTCCAAGAGACAGCATCAGAGATAAAGATAAAATGAAAAGACAGGAAGATATGATAAAACTAAAGTTATATTCTTAGGAATCAGGGAAAAGATTGCAGTATATAATCTCTCTTTTTTTTTGTTTTTTTTTTTGACCGGTGAGGGGATCACAGCCCTCAGCATGGTGTTGTCTGCACCATGCTCAGCCAGTGAGCACACCGGCCATCCCTATATAGGATCCGAACCCATGGCCTCAGTGCTACCAGCGCCGCACTCTCTCAAGTGAGCCACGGGGCCAGCCCAGTATATAATCGCTTGAGGGAATGCAGAAAGTCGACAGAACAAATTTAAAAATTAACCCTAAGAAATTGCACCCTTAAATGGGAAGCATTCTTCTGTGCTAAAATTCTCAATGTAACGCAAAATGCGAATAACAAGAGAAATTTTTGTATTATTTGTGTTTTTTTAACTGTCCTTTCTCTTGCCACCACGTAATTTACAGTTGTCTTCAGTGGAAAAAATGTACTTTTCACTTTTACCAGCATCCACAGACATATCTCCACTTTCCTCAATTCCTATACCATTCAGCCACTAAATTATGACCAATTTTCCCTCTTGTCTTTTCAAATACCACAGTTTAGTTCCCAGCCTCTTTTACCTCAACTTCTAAAGTGCACTCATAAGTTTTCTCCCTGGCTTGAATCTCAACTAGCTCAAATGCACCCCATCATAGGACTACCATATTGATTGATATAAAACACAAATTTGACGATGTCACTCTCTTCTTAAAACCTGAACATGATTTCCCATCCCCTGTGGAAATAAGCCCAAGCTCCTTAACATGGCACAGGAGACCTTTCATAGCCTGCCTCTGTCTTCATTTGTCTACATTAATGCTTCATCCATAAGGTATTGTTAATAATTTCTCTGGGAAAAAAATGCTGTTGATTGCCTCTTTGCCTTTCTTCATGCTACCTTCTCTGTCTTCAATTCAGTTATCTTCTCCTTCCCAAAAAGTGCTCTTACAAGGCATTATCCTCTTCATAAATTGTTCCCGACCACTCTGCCTCTATCACATTATTTATCATTTGTCGGTTTATTGTCTCTTTTAAAACTATGCACTTCTTGAGGGTAGAAGTTGTGTCTTAACATTCTTGTATCTCTAGTCACCAGCATGTAGTAGAAACTCATGAAATATTTACCGAGTGGACAGTCTTCTTCAACAGAATTACGAATGAAAAACAGGGTAAGAATCAAGGCTACTTGATAAAATTAGAGACCCTAGAAATGGAAGCACAAAATGCTCCAGACACTTGACACCTTAAAGAGGTGAAAACAATGTTTTTCCATTTGCTCCTCTGCTCTTCAGCTTTTACTGCTCTTGCACCTGAATCACACAAAAGTCTAAATTAAATTTTATACTGAGTTGAGACTTTCTTAGAAGGAAAAAAGCATGAGCAGTGTAGTAAAGCAAGGAAAGACATGCCAGAGAGATGTCAAAAGTCATGTTTTTTGAAGAAAAGGTCAGTTCAGTAAGAACAATGAGAAATATGCTCCGTATCAAATTGGAGTACTGTGTACCTGCTACATTCAAGTCATGGTGATACATCACCAGGAATATCTAAAAAGTGATGAAATACATCATTCCACCTTGTGAAAGCTGCATTTTACTTAGGAGATGAGACATAAACATGCAAACGTGTGTTTTGGTCACTGTTGTACTCTTAGTGTCTAGAAAGTGCCTAGCACATAGAAGACCTTGAGTGACTGACACAATAATTGTCAAATGAGTGAACTAGTGTACTCAGAAAGGCAAAGCTAGATTATTTATTTATTTTGTGACAAAAGTCAAAAATAAGATTGCATATCCACACACATCCCATGCAATTGCTAATCATATATTCAGTTTTGAGTCAGCATCCATGTTATCTTATAACAAGACTTTTAACTTAAAGTGCTCCGTTGTCCAGAAGGCTCATATTTATGAAATAAATAGTTTGCATAATTTGAGATGCTAATGTATAGATAAGAGCAGTGATTTGGGCTAACACACGTCTGGAAAGTCAGGAATTTATAAAAGTGAAGGATTGATCACACCCACAGAGTTTAAAACATACAACTGAGTATACAAACTAGTTTAAAAACTTATACAGATGAGTAATTCTTAAAAATAGGGAAAGAAAGTGAAATGC